GTACTATGGACAGATGAAACTAAAATAGAGTTGTTTGGTCATAATTATCGAAGTCATGTGTGGAGGAAGGACGGTGAAGCCTACTTACTAAAGAACACATTACCAACTGTAAAGTTTGGTGGTGGCAGTATCATGACCTGGGGCTGTTTTTCTGCAAAAGGTGTTGGCAGAATATCAATAATAGATGGCAAGATGAATGCCGAAAGCTACCAGAAAATCCTGCAAGACAATTTAATGCATTCTGCTGAGAGACTTCGGCTACCTCCTGATTGGGTTTTCCAACTGGATATTGATCCTAAGCATACCGCTAGATCTACAAGGAAATGGTTATCTGAAAGTAACGTTGATGTCTTGCAATGGCCATGTTGATGTCTTGCAATGGCCAAGTCAGTCCGCAGACTTGAACCCAATCGAGAATTTATGGCGATATTTGAAAATTCAAATTGGGAAAAGAGCACCAACAAATATCAAGAATTTGAAGAGAATATGCCAAGAAGAATGGGACAAAATACCATTCAATGTGTACAAATCATTAGTTGAGACGTACAGGAATAGACTGGTAGCTGTTGAACTCAATAAAGGATATTCCACAAAGTATTAAATTAAGTTAATATGCTTTTTGTTTTGTACGAATACTTTTTTCATCAGTTAAAATGAAAAAAATGAGTATAGTGAGGATTGAAGAAAGGACAAAAGATGCTCGGAATTCAAGAAGACAGAAGGCAGCATTTAATTTTTGAAGATTGTAGTTATCAAGGAAGCAAGTAAACGGGAGGGTATTCCACAGGTGGGAAGTGCTAGAAAAATTGCTGCAGTAGAAGGGGTGATTGCATTTAGGTATTTCAACAGTAAACGGGGTGAGACCCACATGCCAGTCTGCTGGCACGGTTAAATTCATGTATTCTAGGTACGAAGAAACACGGTGGAGTAATGGATAACGGCTCGAGTTGAGGAATCGGAGAGCCGAGGTTCGAATTCCAGTCGAAACCATTACATTACTTAAGTGCTAATACCATTGGGAAAGGTATGAATCCTCTTCGTCTCCCCCAGCTATGGTTAAATAGTAAGAGAGACCTGGTTCTGTAGCCTTGGATGGCAGCTGGTCTACCGCATAAAGAAATAGCAACCTACTGTATGAAAAAATCGATCTCGTCATCATATATCGAAAGATATATGATCGCCTAAGAGTGTATCACGGATTGCCCATAACTGACTGACTGGCGTGCTAATACCCTTGGGAAAGTATTGAATATTCTTCTTCACTCTGCTATGGGTAAATAACAAGAGAGACCGGGTTCTATAGCTTTGGATGACAACTGGTCTACCGCACAATGAAACAGAAACCTACTGCGGAAAAAAATCTGCCTCGTCATTCATATATCGAAAGATCACACACGGCACATAACTGAGTGAATGATTATGGGCACCAGAGAAAAAGCTCTCGTCTGAGTAGTTGCCATGAAAATATTTGTAGAAAAGACAGCGGGAATCCAAGTCACAACGGTGAGAAAGTGACTGAAGTCGAGACATCTGTCCAGGATCAATTACATTACAGGTCCTTCTTTGGTTTTTCTCGAAACGAATAGCAACAGCACTGGATCAGGTATGACAGCAACATTCAAGGCAAGGGCAAATGGGATGATTGTTTTTAGGGGGCTTCTCCTCATAGACTCTCATCAACCAAAATTTATGGTAAGCTTAGGCATTCTCTATATTTATAGATTCTTTAAATTTATCACCTGGAAAGGACGATGACGTCATTTACTTTCTCTATTCTTGGTAAAATGGCAGCAGTATTCAACGCAAGGGCGAATGGGGAAATCTTAAATTTACCAAGCCTTCAATACTGTTATCTGTTGAAATTACTAAATTAAAACAATGTCTCAAAAAATAAGTTTCTGAAGTCCAGTAGCTGTTATCGCTCTTTCTAGTATTGACGGGGGTTTCTTTCCTAACCTTTTACTTGAAGTAGTGTGTAATGTCAATATCTTGATTATGTAACTATTTTCTCTTCGAATTACATATGCTAGTCATTTTACTTGCTGCTTCTGTCAATTGTCTTCAAGCGATGGGATTTATCTTTTTTGATACATTTCTTACTTTGTGATTATGTAGCGCCAGTCCACAATATTCAAAGATGGATAGTGATTGTTAAGACCCTTTGGTTTCACTCAACCAATTGTTTTTTTTACCCACTGATTTGAGAAGGCGGTTGTAAATAGCTGTTTAGATATTTCTGAACGGGTTTGCCACTATGAATGCCATCCATATGTAAGTATTGATCTGACGAGACTATTTATGTATTTTCATTGTTCATTTTAAATGACCGCAACTTGACACTAGCGTTTGTTTCGGTGCCGATTTCTGGTGTGTTCTTGATCGAAACTGTCCCTTGTTCATTTGCGATACAGATTTTGTTTAATGCTGTCGTTTTGTCCACAAATTAATGTCCTAAATATGGAACATGAAAAGTTACACTTCCGCTATATTATGTTCTATGAACTCCGAAAAGGAGTAAGCGTCGGAACACTACAGCAACAATTGTTTTCTCCTGACTTGGCAACTTCGGATCTCCATTTATTCCGGTTTCTACAGAAACCTACCTCACAACATTATTCCAACAAAAAACACAAAGCTTCTACGAAAATTGCAACCCTAACCTTATAGAACGACGTCAGAGAGATGTTAAAAACAATGGAGATGATAGTGAGTATGTAAAAATCTGGTTTCAATTTTTATGATGGACTCAGAGTATGTGCCATCACTGATTTCATTCCAGTTCCACATCATAGTTCCTGTTGTGAAAAGGTTTAGCTTGAATGTTATTGCCTGGAACATTTAGCAGAGGCTGTTGATTTTCTGGTAATGATCATTGTTATTCCAAGTATGAATATCTATATCATCAGCAGTTCCCTTCTACATTGACCTTGGGAAGGAAATCGTAACGTTGTTTTTTATTAGCTTCGTTTAAAATGTGGTATAGAATTCTTAAATGAATAGTGACTATATGTCTTCACACAACCTTGCGCAGAATATTGTCTAGGAAAAAAGATTAAATAACATTAGATATCATATTTCTCCCTTGCCTTCTACTAGAGGACGTTTGAAATATTTCCATATTGGGCTCCTCGTCAAATATGTATGTTTCTGTGAACTGTTCTATCTGTTGGAACACCTGTTCCCATATGATCATCGAAGTTAAGCAACATCGAACCTGGTCAGTACCTAGAGATGCTTGACCGCTTGGGTATACCAAATACTGTAAATATAGATGCACGATTGTTGTAATGGATAATGACTCAGAATTGTTAATCAGAGAGCCGGGTTCCATTTCAAGTTTGGTTCGTTATATTCATTGTGGGTATGTGAAAATCTGGTTTTAATTTTCTAATCGGGTATGCAGTTTTGCCATAATCTAATACAGGGCTCGAGTTTTAAGAGTAATGTCCTTTTAGCAGTTTACAGTCTTGGGAACAGCCCATTCTATCAGTATCTGTCTATATTTCTGAGATGAGGTATTATGTATACTAATTAGATTATTCGGATTATTGTCCTTATCTTTGTTGCGATATTAATCACAAAGTTTCGGGTGGTTGGAATGTCGAACTGAACCCTTTATTTCTCTCGTTGAGGTAGACTTCTCTAGTCATCAGTTATCTCCTGTTAATTCACCTTTCCTAGTTCTCCACTGCCTTAGCCAGGTATTGAACTCACAACACTTTGGGTCCTGTCAATGGATCTAACCAATGCCTTTATCCGCTGTGCTCTGTGTCCTTAAGACAGCCTTCTACGTTTTTTGTCATCAGAATTTACGGCAAATATTAATCACTTAATAACGACCTATATGCAGTTTTAGAATGCTTAATATCTGAATATATATATATAGGTTTGTCATATCAACAACAATTGCCGAGTAAAAGATTTTAACGCAGAGTATCATTAATATGGGACATATTTATTACAGTCAGTTAACTGTCCTTCATTGAATTTGTAAACAGTTTCTTTGAATAATTGTCTTATATGATCTGATAGTCTTCTTTGAATATTATTAATAACTATTTTATATTTATGGCTTACGGTTATATCACGTTGAAAAACACGTTCTCATCAGATCACCCAAAATTAATCAACGTTGAGCTTGGTATGTATCGAGATAGGTAGTTTGCATGGGAATACTAACTGCTCTATAGTTGAATTTGCGACTGGTGCAATGGCATGAAATTCGGAGAGCAGGTTTCTAATTCTAGTCGAGTTATTTGCATTCACTAACGCGCAAATACCCTTGGGAGATGTATAAATCCTTCTGTTCTTCTCCAAGCTATGGATTAAATAACAGAACAGACTGTGTCGTATAGCCTTGGTTGACAAACAGTCCAGCCTACTGCATGAATTCTTCTGACAGGTTATTCATGAATCGAAAAGAGACATGATCGCCTAAACATATATCAGGCTTGTAATTTAAGGAAGGGAGAGTTTTATTTGAAATATATAAAAAAAAAAAAAATCGGCTTAGTTATTGCATATGTTATAACTTTCGTTCATTCTTAGATATATAGTTAGATAATCAAAAGACTATTTTTTAAGTTATACATGCTAATATAAAATGAAAATAAAATAATAATCATTATTTAAGAGGAACAGCATACGTCGTATGGCCCACGGGTTGAGGTTTGACCAGAGTCTGAAGCGTTAAAAATAAAATAAAAAATGCGTATGAAATTTCAAGTGTAGTTGCTGACAGAAATGCAACAACGTCTGTATAAAATCGCCCGAAAAGACTAACTCATGTCCGTTAGTGAAACCGTTTATGAATCCTTATCACGCTATAGTGCCATTCTAGCAAATAAATTACAGATTTTAAAGGCTTATGAAATAAAAATATAGCATAAGATAAAGTTATAGAGATGTCGGGGGGAGAGAAAGTAAGAAAGGAAGAAAGACAAAATGGGTGAAAGAAAGACAGTAAGAAATAAAGAATGAAAGTAAAAAGACATAAAGACAGAAAGAAAAACAGACAGACAGACAGACAGACAGACAGAAAGAAAGAAAGAAAGAAAGAAAGAAAGAAAGAAAGAAAGAAAGAAAGAAAGAAAGAAAGAAAAAGAGAACGAAATAATGTAAGAAATAAAGACAGAAAGTAAAGAGTCAAAAAGAAAAAACGACAGTGAGTAAGACAGATAGAAAGAAAGACAGATAGACCAAACAGAAAGAAAGAAAGAAAGAAAGAAAGAAAGAAAGAAAGAAAAACAGATAGAAAGAAAGACTGACAGAAAGACTGAAAGTAAGACAGAGAGGAAGAAAGACAGATAGAAAGAAAAACAGAAAGAAGGAAAGAAAGAAAATAAGAAAGATAAAAAGAAGAAATAAGTAAGTAAATAAATAAATAAATAAAGAAAGAAAGAAAGAAAGAAAGAAAGAAAGAAAAAAGAAAGAAAGACAGTGAGTAAGACAGAAAGAAAGAAAGACAAACAAAAAGAAAGACACATAGAAAGAAAGACAAATAGACCAAACAGAAAGAAAGAAAGAAAGAAAGAAAGAAAGAAAGAAAGAAAGACCGAAAGACTGACAGAAAAACAGAAAGTCAGACAGAGAGGAAGAAAGACAGATATAAAGAAAAACAGAAAGAAGCAAAGAAAGAAAATAAGAAAGATAAAAAGAAGAAATAAATAAAGAAAGAAAAAAGAAAAGAAAGAAAAAAGAAAGACAGTGACTAAGACAGAAAGAATGAATGAAAGAAAGACAAACAAAAAGAAAGACAGATAGAAAGAAAGACAGATAGACCAAACAGAAAGAAAGAAGGAAAGAAAGAAAATAAGAAGGATAAAAAGAAAAAAAGAAAGAAGGCGAAGGATTAAGATGATCGCCCAAAACAAAAACAAAAAATCCCCAAATAATCCTTTAATTCTAGTGAAATATTTACGATCTGTAAAAATGGTCCGGAGATTTTATTTGAAAGTCGCCAATTGCAGGCATTTTCAGGCGCCATAATTTAATTCCGTCAAAGCTTATTAAATTTCATCATTATAATAAATTCCCAATTACAATCACCAAAAAAGTGATTTAATGTTTATTTTCTGCAAATAAATCTGGAAATTATATTTACATTTGTGGTCTTTGCATTTTATTTTTTACAGTTTAAATAATTTTCTCTTTTCACTTATTTTGTTTTGAATTTTCTGGTTTACACCTGATTTGCCTTGTTAATTCCACTCGCTGCTTTTATTCGCCAATAGCAATTGCAAATTATGGAGATTTATATTGAAATTAATTAGATGAGATTTAGTTATGCTTTTTTAAGAATGTTCAACGTGTTAAATAATTCTACTTAAATATTAATTCCAATTTTCAACATTCACTGACGCGCAAATACGCAAGGCAAAGGGATGAATACATTTATTCTCCCGCTAGCTATGGGGTAAACAGTAGAACTTGTAAATCATTGTTCTCTCTAAAAAAAATTGTTAAAGTAATACTCTGTCTCAAAGAGATAAAAAATCGTACAACCCCAATATTTTGGCTTTGATAAACTTTAAAAACAAAACAATCGATCCCAATCCAAAATATATACCTTTCTTTATTATTAGGTTGGTGCAAAAATAATGACGTAATAATGTCGTTTTTTGATGTATTTTTAACGTCAAAAACGACATTATTACGTCATTATTTTTGCACCAACCTAATAGTTTTGCCTATTATTTCTTTCAACTTAATTTGAGTTGCTTTTCGATGCAACTACTCACGCTGTCCTCCGAATACTAGCATGCATTTAGTCACATTAACTTTAATTTATATGGTGTGTAACAGCAAAATTGTCCAAATTGCGTAACAGTAAAATTGTCCAAATTGCGTAACAGCATGGAATAATTGTCTATCCCACAAAATTTTTAACATCTTATAAAAAAAAACTGATTTTCTATTTTCAGTTTTTCAGATGAGACGTTTGACACCATTTGTCTCCAGTGAATGTTGAAAATAGTCATTTTTTTTCAATTAGAATCATTAAACACGTTCTACTAAAAATCTAAGTATCATCTTATTAATTTCAAAATATATCTCTATAATTCGCAATTTGCTTGTAATTTTCTAATCGGCCAGGAGCTTTTGCAATGATCCATTACATGACTCGAGTTAAATGTTGACGTTTTATCCACAAATGAATACCTTAAAGTTGGAATTTTGGAAAGGAATAAGCGTTGGAACAATACAGAACCAACCGTCTTTTCCTGACTTGGAACCTTCGGATTTCCATTTGTTCGGTATCTACAGACCTCCTGATACAGTTTTCCTCTCAATTGTTCCTTCCTTAAAATTTATTCACCGTTCTCTTGATGGTTCCTAAATGAAGCCAGATTATGAATGTTGGTATCGTTACTGAAGGCCTTAATGATCTTTTCATCTCACCATTGCTCAGTTAAGAAACCAATGTTGCTGACACAAACGACTGTAACCTGTTCTCTTAGTAACTGAATAAGTGTTTTTCATTGATTCTCAAGACAAAAGGTGTCAAGATGGCTAAACGACTTATCTGAAAACCTGGAAAAAAGAAAATCAATTCGTTTAGTGTTTTTTATTCGATATTAAATATTTTGTGGGATGGACAATTATACTGTGCTGTTATACGATGTGGATAATTTTGCTGTTCCACACGATATGAATTACAGGTAATGTTACCAGTTGTATGCTAATAGTTGCGATCTTTGAATTCGAGTCTCTACTTCTTGATCCAGAATTTGAACTCAAAATTATTATGCCACCAAATACAGAAACAAATACTTTAATTATATTCAATAAAAGATTCAGTTTGACATTCCATGAAGGTTATCCAAAACTACACACCTGCAGAAGGACGGAGAACACAATAGCCGAAACGTTGTGATAATAGTAACAAATATGTGGACATTATTCCGACTGTATATAATGTAAATGATTTTTTTTTCTTTTAACTCTTCCTCTGCATTCACTTTTGTCTCTTGATTTGCTTTTCATGTTGCAATATTTCCGGTTGGTTAACTCCAACTTCCGCTATAATCAATTGTTAAGAGCTGGGGATACATACCGATGCATTTTGTAAATATACTTCATTTCATTTAAGTCCATATGAAATACTTTTATTTTTTTACCCCTACCCTAAACGCCCGTGACATTTTAAATATGGGTTTAGTTAGGATTTCCTGAAAATACAATCTATTAATGATCATTTCGATATAAAATAGGGCAGCTTTCTGTTAATGTCATATTGCCAAAACCTTTTTCATATCTTTGTAAACTACATGCCATGAATATGAAGCTGGGCAATGAGAACATCTAGGGAATTTATTTGTCAGGTTGGAGGGACATTTTTTGCAATAACTTCACCCTAAGTAAGATAATAAAGCCACTATGACACAATGAGTTACTGAAAGTGAAGAAAACTGAGAAAATGTTTCTGAAGACAAATGACAATAAAAAGACCAGGATTCGGGGAAATAGAAAATTACGATTGACGTTGTATTTACAATTTTGAAGAAAAGTTGACAGGAAAGCAAGAAACCGGAAGTTAGTTGCGCAAGCGACAATTACAGAGAAGAAATTATTAGAATAGAACTTACCGATACGTCTAGCAATTTAAATAGTAAAGTGTTGTTACTAAAGCTGCCAATTTAGTATTATACTAAAATTCATGAAACCCCGATGTAGAAAAGAAGAGTGCCATGAAAATAAATACACTGAAGTTAGGATACAATTGTTGGAAAGTGATTGAAACCGAGATGCCATGTTATAACTGATATTACTGCAGATTCTTGCTCAAAAATTATATTCAAGTAAGTATGTAACGTATAAATTTATTGTTATAACGTTTGTTTATAGGAAAATATAATTATAATCCTATTATGAATATTATGACCCCAAATTGAAATAGTGAAATACTATGACTGACTATGTTTAGTAGTGTCTTTAAAAAATGGAAATTTACATGTCTGATTAGTGAAAGAAGTGTTACTGGAGCTGAGGCGACAAGCAATGCCGTATCATGCAAAATTTTCAACACACGAAAAGGTTGCTTTTTCTCACCGGAGGACATACTACAAAAATGAATAACTTAATAGATTTGTGGAATATTTTCAATAAAAGAAGAACGTGAATTAAACTTTAGAAAAAGATGCCATAAATATTTAACAACATGCCCGTTCTGGGCACACGTCATCCTGTTCCCCGCCAACCTAGAGGATTACAATGATGCTAGCCATAGATCTGGTATCTAAAGATCCAGTATTCAGATGAGGAGTTTAGAAGGGGAGGCGTCTTCCCTGTGTGCAGCACTGTCTGAAAATCATTACACTGGTTGACACTTGTGTGTGAAAACCTCTATGGCTGTGCTGTTACAAAGTCCAAATTCATTCAGGTTTGCGTTGCACGAGAGACAAAATAGGCATAGGTTTAGTTTGCATGAGATTGAAAAAAAAGATAGACATATGTTTGGTTTGCACGAGAATTAAAAAAGCTAGACACAATAAACATGTAGAATCTTTTTTGACAGATAAACAGATTGTATAGCACCGCCCCCCTCCCATGTTGGGAGGTCATCGACGCCATTTTAATAATAATGTTGCCTTCTCTCTTTTGATTTCTCCCCGTCGGAGGTCGCTAAATGTTTTGACTCCAGAGATGTAAGACATCAACAAAGATAATTTTAACTAACTTTAATCGTTTCCCCCTCACTGGGGAGCCATTTCAGACACGAAAGTGAACACGTCTACATTGCTGACTCGACTCCTGATATCGATACTAGATGAGATCTCAAGAAACTCAAATGTTTCATTACACAAATACAGAAGTAAAATTAAATCACTAAATGAAATACCAGCAATCAAGAAAATGTTTAAACAGAAACTGCAGTTAAACTCGCAGAGAAGTCAATACGAAAATCGTTGTAGGTGCTATAGTCAAAAGTAAATATTCTTAATGGACCTTAAGAAATTTTACGAGGAAATTGTAAATGCAGGTATACATTTTAAAATTTATTATCTAATGAAAAAATGCACAAATTTTGGGAAAATATTTGGAGCAGCCGAAAGGAATATGAGCGCAATGCAGAATAGATCCACAGAGAAGAAGAACGAATGAAGGATAAACCTCTACAAAAATGGGAAAATAGAACAACTAATACTGTTAAGTAAGTTCTAACGAAATGTCAAAAGGGCAATCACAAAAAAATGATAAGGTACGTAATTTTCGGCTCTGTTATCTGTTATGAATCCATAAAACCCTTGCACAAACTCTACCAAAGTCCTAGAGTGGATTACTGAAGGTATTACATATTTCCTGTCAAAAAAATGGGTGAAACAAATGATCCAAGGCAAATAACATGTTTTTCCATCATGTATAAACTGATCACGTCTATCCTGACGAACGGCTTTATTGTTTTTCTCTAAGGAAACAACATTATTGCCCTGGATCCGAAGAGTGGTACATATTATTACAAAGGTCAACTACTGACTAACAAAATGATCCTGGAAAATTGCAGAAGAAAAATGTTGAAAGCACAACAGAGCATGGATAGATTATCGTAAAGCCTTTGATAGTGTGTCACACTCTTGGACCCTTAAAGCTTTGGAAATGTACAAAGTCTCGTCGGTGATAGTAAATTTACTTAAATTCAGCATGGGAATGTGGAACACCAGATTATAATTAAATCACACCAAAGGCACTATCATCTCCAACCGCCTGAATATCGGCCGAGGCATCTTTGTTGGGGACGCCCTTTTACCGATTTCTGTTTTGTCTCTCCTTAATCTCCCTTACTCATGAACTAAAAAATAATAACTACGGGTACAAAGTTAAACAAGAAAGTATCCAATCATCTACTCTAGATGGATAAACTCTGTTTCCCAAAGACGACAATGAGATGAAGGGTTTCCTCAATACTGTAAAATGATTCAGTGACGAGATAGGTATAGATTTCGGATACCCAAATCAACTCTTTCGTTGGGACATTAGCACATCACGATCTTTCAACACATATTTTCCGGTTAGCCAGGCTACATAATGTGTTATTCATAGTTTAAATTCAATTGAAATCACTAGTCTGAAAACTATACTTGCTAATATGTTGCATTTTATTAATCTCATCATTATACATTATACCTCAGCATCCTGATTAAGACGACAAACTACGTCCAACAACAAGGCCTCTGATCAGTTTTTGAGGAACGTGGAACCACCTCTTAATTCCCAGGTTCACCATGACCCAGGGTGGTAGGACCTGTTAGGGTCCCAACTATGGATAAATAGTCAAAAAATAGGTTTTAATACCAGGAATAATTTTTCTGAGGAAAAATGATTACCAGCAATACATTTTTAAAGAAAATACATATTACCAGCAATACATTTTTGGTGAACATATTATCAGCAATACATTTTTGAAGAAAAAATATTACTAGCAATATACTTTTGGAAAAATATTGTCATCAATACATTTTTGAGGAAGAAATAATACCAGCAATACATTTTTGGTAAAAATATTACCAGCAATAAAAATCTTGTCGGTATTAAATAACCCATTGAATTTGATATGCAGTAAAACAAAATAAAACAAAAAAAAATTATACCTCGTTTCCTGTATGAGAATTGAATGAATCGTTAGTGTGTCAAACGACGGATCCCTTAATATAAATATCTCCTAATAGAAGAATATACCTTCCAGCGGGTCTCCGGCTCAGGAAAGGATTTTTAATGGAAAATTAAACCTGTCCTCGTTCTCGTCCACGTTCAAGACGCTGGTTTACCTCGTTTACGTGTCTGTTTGCTATTGTTCTGTGGATGATAATGAAGAAAGTCGGCGACGGATTCGAGTGCGAAACAAGAAAACGTTTCACCACTTTGTATAAGTTTAATTTCCTTTGCAGACAACTTGTTATATGGAGTACGCGGCCATTTCCGAACGTTTGATTGTTTTTACATTGATCCATAATAGAAATGGCTTCTTCGCTTAATACAAAGCTCTTTTAACTTTCTTTCGTTGCGTCTTTGTTTCTATTGATCTCCAGTTGTTTATTTTTATGTGTCCCTAACGACCTGACCCCATATGGTTATCTACCTATCTATCTATTTATGTTTTAATATATATATATATATATATATATATATATATATATATATATATATATATATATATTCATAAGTATATATCTGTTTGTCTATCTATCTATATATCTATCTATTAATTTTCAGGCTATGCCCATATATATATACATATATATATATATATATATATATATATATATATATATATATAATTTCGCTCTTAAAAATATACATATATAATTTATCTCTTGAAAATATATTTTCAATTGAGCTGTGTCGAACGACAAGCTAATTCTGAAAACAACGGTGACCTGCGTAAACCTCGTCAGTAAAATGAATGAAGCACTTTGGCTGCTTCGCATTTACGTTTATAAAAACTATACACTAGATTTGGCTGAGTCGTTCTGTCGAGTGAAGATGGCTGAGTGGTAGAATCTCTGACTAACACCCAATCAGTTTGGTTTCGATCCGAACTTGAGGTATTCGGTTGTCTAGTCACTGTGATTGAGCGAAGCAGTACTGTCTGAAAATGGTATATATATATATGTATATATATATACTAGCAGCATGGGCCGCCGTTTTCCGTGCTTCAATCAAAAATCGTACGACTCATACAGCTATCACTTGACTTAAAATATTTTTTCCGAGCTGATGTTGCTACATGCTTTACTTCTTGCCTATCTCGCACTGCGAATTTTTCAAAGCTCTATACTAAACATTAAATCTTTTACGAAAAAAGAACTAAACAAAATGAACACAAAACTATCAGCTTTAAAAAAAAAACTCGTAACTGGAAAAATCGAATGAAAAAAGAATGTTAACAACAAATACTTTTCCACACCCAACCCAGTTCTGCGGAATCAGAATGAACGTTGAATTTAAGCAAGCGAATGAGGAAATTGGAGTAAAGTGCCATGCAGATTTAAATTTTTCCCCACTTGTGACGAATGCAGTTATCGATTTTTTTGCATGCTAGCATGCTAGTTAACATTCGCGTCAGTCAGCTGTTGGCTCTCACGCTGGGCAATAGAATCTTCCTGCCTATTCGTGGCAGCCAGCTATTGGCTCTCGCTCTGGCCAGTACAAAATGGCCGCAAACTACATGAAAACTGCCGTAGAAGCATGAAAAAATCGATTATTTCCACTATTGATGGGAGTTGGGAAATGCGATGTCGGACTTGGCGTTCCCGCTAACTTGGAGCATGTGCATGGAAATTTTGGTGCAAATCCGTCGAAAATTGCGGCCGTGCATTCGGTACTCACACACGCACGCACAGACACACACACACACATCCTGCCTTTTGATATATATATATATATATATATGCGGTGGGTAAATTGTCGCCATTTTATATTTCTGCGCATGTGCGTAGTTTCTTTTTTGGTTTTATCGATTGCACTCCGCCCGCCATAAATTTGGAAACGACATGCTGTACTGCTTGGCATTCGCTGTATTACTGGCAACAGGATTCTGCCCCATGCTGCCCAATCAAAGGAACCCAGTCATAGTCGTCATACAACTTCTGCGATGTCATCACCTCTTACATCTGCTCACCTAACTCCCCAGACTACAACCTCGCCTTGATTATCATGTGTGGATTGCAGTTGAGCGTAAGACCGACAAAACTACTTGTAACACCAAAGACGAACTGAAGGCAAGGATTATGGCAGCATTCACAAACTTAATCAAAGAGACCATCCAGAAGAATATGTTTGTATCTATTCATTCGTCTATCTTTTTCAGTCTGTTAACTATCTCTTTAGCTATCACATTTTGTCTCTTCTATATATCTATTTACCTATCTATGCACACACACACATATATATATATATGTGTGTGTGTGTGTGTGTTAACGCATAACTTTTCAGTTATGAATTAAGCGCTCTTGACTACTGATTTGGAGTATGTACTACGTTAGAATATTCCGTTTCTCTGCTGAGTGCCTAAA